TGACGACGCACGAGGCAAGAGGTGAAGGTGCAAAGCGAATGTCAAGAATAAAGCGATCAAAAGCGAGGCCGGAGTCGACTGCAGCAGCAGTCATTGTAACGCGTTCGCTGACGGCTGCGATGACGAGTTATATCAGGTGCAAGCAGTAAGGTGCAAGAAATATTATACCTGTAAACACATCCATTCAAGTGGCCCGAGCAGGAGGCGCCTGTCAGGTAGTCAGGCGCGTTTTGTTTCAATTAATCACTCGCAGTTGGAATTTTATTATTTTATTAGTTTAACCAATTGCCACAGACATGGCGTCTAATTTGGAGCCGCTTGACTTCGAGCTGTCGCCGCTTCCGCCAAATCTGTTTATAATAAACACTCATTGTACATTAACCTCCGCTATGAGGTTCAGCGGACAATCGGCGCTGACGAAACTTGGCTGGCGGCGCACTAGTGGCATCGACACTGCACTGGGAGCCGACTTATTTGCTGCGACAGACGTTTCTGCCCGCGAAGTCACACTTGTTGCAACAGAATGGATACGAGATTGACTAAAATTAATGACTTCATGCTGTTCACTTACGAACTTCTAGCACGGCTTTCCATGAGTGTCGTTGTATGGCACCGTTGTTAAAAGAAGCAATTATTGCGCACGCAATTTTTTAAATGCTAATCTTCCATTAGCAACAACAAGCGCCGGTTGTCCGAACGCCTAGCTTACTGTTACAGTACGCTAAGAGAATCCGAAGCTAGGAGAAACCTAGCTACTAGACAGATACTGCACGTGACTGGCAATCGTGATACGAATGATCGACTTTACAGACTGCATAGATCGTGCATAGATACGCTCATTTTACAGAAATGAACCCGAAAATAATATTTCGCAGGGAAGTCTCAGGCATACAATGACCCTAAGAAGAATGGTCTTACCTTGAATGTAACTTTTCTTATTCGTAGACACTGCCAGACGCTATGCCGTACTTAGCAGCTGCGCAAAGAGATGATCAGAGAAATGAATGTTTCTGTTGTAGGATGGAAGCGTCATTGGGAATGAACTAGCCGCCAGACGAAGCGAAGCCCTGGATAACCTGAAAAGAACCAAAATAGCACTCAGGAATTCTTCTTGGAAATTAGAAAAATTGCAAACTATGCTATCCAAATGATTGTGAGACAGAAGTTAAAAGATCAAAATACTCAAGAATTCTTGTTTGGTAATGCATGCGAGTTAAATCGGACGTGCCAAATTAATGGTCAAAGCTTGTATGGTTCTGGAGTTAATAAACTGCAACAACGTTCAATGCAATCTCGCAAATTTTTTTAGTTCATCCACTGATTGTTCAGATGGCATAGTATGCAGACGCAATACAGGTGATATAACTACCACACGTGTGATTATATCTGATGATGGAACTTCGTATCATGGAGCCTACCATTTGAAAATGGCTTTTTCACCGTTTAGTAAATCTAGTCACATAAAGAAACGGGGTGTAAAAAAAGGTAACTAATATGCCAAGTTCAGTACCTACGAGCTGTGATGGATCGTTCACTGTTTCTGCATTGCATCAGGTTACAGCAGGTAACAGTTTGACCTCTGCGTTGTTTCAGGTTACATTTGTCGTCGTGTGATAGTGCAGATGAAGGATACAGATGGGTTTTGGTACTGTGTGACTACGTCGAAGCAAATACTCCTTCCTTACCCAGTCAGAAGTTCATTCAATGGGTTCTTGTTCTTATACGAATTTAAATGAAGACCTCAAGCGACTTTCAACTGAATTCTGCTGGTTTCTTAAAGTGATAAATACATACCTATGATTAACAAATAGTAACATTTAGGCAAACATGCTGCATATAATTCAAAAGCAACGAAA